TTTTCTTCTATCCGAACAGTATGTATGTCCAATTCATCCTCTGTCAGACCTCGGCTTCATTCTTTACGTATGAAGACTTCTTTTCCTACAAGTCTGGTGTCTACAAGTATACGAGTGGCGCATATGTTGAGTTTCATACTGTTGAACTCATCGGTTGGGGTACCGAGAAGGGAGTTGATTACTGGTTGGCCAAGAATGACTGGAATGAAGAATGGGCTGACCTTGGCACCTTCAAAATAGCCCAAGGGGATTGTGGCATAAACGACTTGGTCCTCGGGGCACCTGCAGCCCTGAATTGACTGATGTCTCATTGTTAATTTTTTCAGCACAGGGTAGGTGTCTGTTAAGGAAGGTTGACCATATGTCCGTTCATATGATAAGTCGCATCTAGGTACCAACTAGTATTTGGTCATAGTGTCGAGCCGATTATGACTTCACTATAGTTGTCCCACTTGAGATATGCTGTATGCGCCAAGTTGATCGATAGCATATAGCTTTTGTGGTTTTGGCTAACAGAAGATTACAGGCTCCTTACAGATTGCCCTGTCGCGTTTTGTCCGGTGACTGGAGCTACATAACAGTGTCAATGGCTCAGGGTCTCAGAATAGTTCACATATCCTGGACATAATGTCCAAACTGGACCTTGGTATTGACCTCAACTTTATTCATGGAAAAGATTTTATGCATCCGGTTTCTTCATTGTTCTTTGATCGATGTCGACCGTCGACGATTCATGACAATGCCCCCTGCTCATTCACTACGGATTTTCCCTAGCACAGGGTAACTCACCGGCGATAAGACCACGCTCACTCATGCACTGCGTCAGACCGCATTTTTCCCGCATAGGCTTAGGCTAAGCCGCTTAGCTCACATAGATCGAATATCCCCAATTTTCAAGCGTATGTGAGGAGAGTAAGTGTAGAATTTCTTACCTAGGCATGTCGTGTTCAGAAGATAGGTGACCGTCACGGTCATATTCAATGTCCTGTCTCAAAGCAGGCCGTGTCTAAGACGCTTCCATTTCCACCATTTCTCGTGACGTTACGTCACTGACGTAAAAAAGGTATACTCGGGATTTCCCAGTGGGGAAACTACCGCAGTAGGTCTCCAGAAAAGGCCGCCTTCAATTACGTTTTTTCGCTGTATCACATCGGATGTAATGAAGTCGATCACCAGTTTGCGGCGGCCGCGATTAACCTATGATAGGTTACCTATCGCATTGAACGCCATTTCCCGATTAATGGGTGCATCTCCAATGTAGCAAGGCAAGGTTAGGAAGCCTCGGTTGAGGTTCATAATGCTATCCACATCAGCGACAGAGTCTGTTGCTGACCGATACAGGTTGAGTCAACCTGTATCGGTCAGCAGCTGACAAGCATGGATGTACGAGGAAGATACCATTGATGCCACACCAATGATGACACCAACATGGAGGATAAAAAGTACAATGCAGACAGGCACAGTGGAGTTCCGTGTAGGCTACAAGACGTAGCAGCAGAAGTGGAACATTGTTCCTCAGGAATCCTACGGAACAATGCTCCTATTCCGCTCTCAGAGTACCACACTCACGGGCACTCTGCCTGTCTGGCACAGTCTTTCCAAGCACGTCGTGCTTCCCAACGCTAGCTGGATGACGCATAAGTCGTTGATGTGTTACTGTATCACCATCCACTACGTTTAGTTACCATCGTATTTCCCTAGTATGGTTGCCAAGTCATTACTGGATGCTTTCTTCTAATGAAATGTACACCTCGGAGTGCGCTCGGAGTGTGTTGATCTCACGCTCTGAGCGTGAGATCAACGAAATGCCTTATGTGACATAAGGCATTTCGCGGCTTTGTGTCTCCCTTTATCGACCGCGCTGACACGACTCTCGAACTTGGAATCAAGCATGTCTAACAATCTACCACAATAGGTGCAAAAACTCTCAGTGAATACTATAAAGCAGAGATGCCTCTTTTCTATCATCGTCTCCATGAAACAACCCCCGAGCGACATACCGTGTATGTCATCATATGACAGTCAAGCACTACATATTTGTGCACAGAATCCTAACCATGAGATCAGGGTCTGTTCCTGTAGGTAAGACTCCTTTGACCTCACCGAGTATTTGGTGAATTCTCTGCTAGATATACGCACTGCAGCAGGGGGTATGCTCCTCAGACCCATTGAAAGTCTCATATGAATAAACACAGTTCACTGAACTGGCGTTGCGCGCTCCTCGACGAGTCTCTGCTCTAATCACCAGTCGGTACCATCCATTTCTACCTCAATCTGCGAAGGGAACCATGATACTTCAAATATCTTCTTTGACGTTCCACAGTCCAATCTGAAATGAACTTCGGCACCGGTCATTGAGCGATCATAGCTTAGAACCATCTTGGTCGTGTTCTCCGACACCTCATAACTCGTTTATTTCTGTCAATAATTCTTAAAAAACTCCTGAAAAATCTCTACAATTCCGATGCCTCTGGATTTGTATAGTCTATCCCGACTATCATGGAAATTTAACACTCCACAGAACACTCTAGTGGTAGGGTGCACAATGTGCACTGCACATCAGGTGCCATCTGGCAGGTGGTGGTACCATCACCATGGTACACGCACTATACCGAATTTAAGATCCCCACTGCCAGCGGGCCACTGGATAGCCGCATAGCCTTCTTTGCAGCTTGATTATACGCACTTAATATCCGTCGCACCTGTGTACTTCAAGATTGCTGTCCATAATCCCAATAAGGAAGAGAATCATCGCATCCCTTGGATCATGACAGACCTCTAAAAGATCCTCGAGATCCGCCATCACCATTCGTTTTGTTGGCTCCCCCATCCGAACAATCTCATTGTCTGGGAAGGCTTGTAGATTTTGAGAGCTTTAACTAGAATAGTCACTCCAAGCACCTCCAGTTACTTTTCCACGAACGGTTGCTCTCACCACGTTCAAGCTTATATGTCAGTTCAACGAATGCTTGTGGAACCCATCGACAGAACAAATAAAGCCCATTTGCGATACGACGTCACTAACCGAGGCTCAATCCACTCAAAGCAATACAAACATACTATACTCACTATATTAGATGATAAGTGAAGACGGACTCAAGGTGCAGCTCGATATATCCGAAGTTCGGATTCCGAACCAGACAAGTCCACGTTCACTCTCGAGTCGAGAAGCCTAACAATGGCATCCAGCCTTTCCACAGTGGCATCCAGCCTTTCACAGTGGCATCCATCCCTCTCACAATGGCATCCGGCCATCTCAAATTGGCATCCAGCCACCTTACATTGGCATCCAGCCATCTCACAGTGGCATTCGGACCCTTGCCGAATCATCTAGCGCCCAGCTGAACGTCAATTCTTAGGTTCTATAGAGACCAGCGACCGGGTAACTTTCGATATTCCATTCGTCAATGTTTTTACTTCGAAGGAATCTATACATCACGACTACCAGCAGAGTCATATCATGCTGAGTTCGATTTGTTCAAACCAGGCGAATTGACAACTAGGGTAACGCGAAGTACAGTATTTCAAACACTAGGAACATTTTGTCTCTCTGTTGTAGACTTCCCGTCAATATACCCTTAACTAAAGGGCCTTTAGAGTCTAAGGTTTAGACCTCACGCTGATTCGAAGAAAGAAATTTTAAGCGCTACCTGCTCAAAGCACTACATTGCAACTTACACTTGAGCTTTAGTCAGGAACCTTGTAAGCTCCCGTCCAGGGACGCCGCTTGGGGGCACTCAGGAAAGTCCCCATTAACTAAATGGTAACTGGATGTTAATCGATCCAACACCGCCCAACCACAACACAAACCATTCGCTCGTTTGTTGACCTAGCCCAATAAATTTACCTTCATGCAAACGCGATCAGTATGAACTGAGCAACACCGATAGAGTTATAACACTTAGCCGAATATTGAACGTCGATCCTCTACATTCCTAGGTGGAGTGTTGCAGTCTCCAACATGAGATAGATGCTCTAGATAAATGAAGCATGTGCGACCGAAGATACCAGTTCAATACAAAAATCGAAAATTCATCACACCAGAACGTGAGTTCGAAGATACATGGAACACATCATGCCTATACATTACTGTACCATTCATAGGCGAAGTCTCAGGCTCGATTCATCGAAGCAACCTCCTATTTCCCGTGAACTGCTCTGACGATACTTTTGTGCGCGC